TGGTGTGGAAGAGCTTCCACGACAGGTCTCCAAGAGCAGCTTGGGGGCAGGGCCAGGGGGACAGCCCCTGTTAAACATGACCCCCAAGCTGTCCAGCTCTCCAGCGCCAGCCGAGACTGGGCTGTGGGATCTTTGACAAGGCATTCAGCCTGATTGCTGAGCTTCTTTGAACGAGGCCGGTTGTGCTGGGGCATGGATCCAGGGCAGACCCACTCTCCTCTTTGCCTTGTTTACTTGGCCTGGACTCATCCTTCTCACCTTCCTTTCTCACAGCATCACCCTCATTGTTCTGTCGTCTGAGGAGGGCACCTCGGAGCTGAGGCTGGAGAGACTACTCCAGATGGTGTTTGGGGCCATGGTGAGACTCCCTAACCCTCTTTTTTTAAAAAAATTCTTGTTTGTTCTTGTCCACACCCTGTGGCATGTGGGATCATAGTTCCCAGACCAGGGACTGAACCTGCCCCCTGCTGGGTGGAAATGCAGTGTCTTAACCACTGGACCACTAGGGAAGAGAGAGAAGTCACAGTTGTGTCCGTCTCTTTGTGACTCTATGGACTGTAGCCTGCCAGGCTCCTCCATCCATGGGATTCTCCAGGCAAGAATACTGGAGTATTAGGGAAGTCCCTCCTTAACTCTCTTTCCCAACCCCAGGAATCTGAGCTCTAGCATCCCTCTCCCTCAGACCCAGGAGTCCAGACTCCCAACAGCCTCCTGTAGAACCCAGGAATTCTGGCCCTCAGTCCGACTCCTCCCTCAGACACAGGAGTCTGAGTCCCAACCCCTCCTGTCTTATAACCAATTGTCCAGGGCCCGTACTCTCCTATATGGTTCTTCTAGGTTCTTCTCGTGGGACTTGAAGAGCTAACCAATATCCGCAACGTAGAGAGACTGAAGAAGGAGCTGAGGGTGAGGCTGTAGGACATGAGGATGGGAAGTTAGGATACCTGGTCACTGATATTTGGGAACTATAGTTCCCAGAAACCCCTGGGGCAGCCTTATCCATTGGGCTCCCAAGGCATCTTGGTTGTCTGACATCCCCTAGGAAGGCCCAGTGGGCCAGTTTTCTGGGGGGAGCCAACACATTTGGGTGCCACCCGGGTCTTAGGCTCCTCCATTTTCCCTTCTGCTAGGCCAGTTACCGCCTCATCGACAGCTTCCTGGGGGACTCAGAGCTCATTGGGGACCTGACCCAGTGTGTGGACTGTGTGGTTCCTCCTGAGGGGTCCCTGCTGCAGGTACTGGGAATGCCTTGTAAACTTTTAAAACTGTCCCTCTGGCCCTGTGTCAGAGGCCAGTGTCCGTCCTCTTATCTTTGGACCATTGCCTCTTCCTATCCTTTTGGCTTCCAGTCCAGCTCCCACTTGACCTCGGAAGAATCTTTCTACACCTAGAGCTGACACTGCCCCTCCCCTAGTCACAGCCCACCCGAGACTTCCATCAGCCCCAGGACAAGGTCCTAGCCCCTTAGTCTCATGTTGAGGACCTGAGGAATCTGATGCCCGCCTGCCTTCTTGCCCTAACCTCTGCTAACTCCTAACTCCACAGTCCACCCTCTCCCAGCTGCCTCATGAGTCTCACAAATCCCTACAACTCCCCAGTTTCTCTGCCCTGGCACATCCTGTTCTTTCTTCCACGGAAATCTCTATCTGCTCTTCCTTAAATATTGATCTGATTTCATCTGGCGTAGCTGCCTCCCAGCAGTGTGGCTCTGGGCAGCTGACAACCTCTCTGAACTTCAGTAGCTTGTAGATTGCACCCACCTGGCACTTAATAGCACTCAATAAACCATAGCTGCTGCTGTTAAAAGGACGTGTCAGACTAGGCAGCGGTCACCCTACCTGTTTAATTTTACTGTGTGACTTGGGGATGGTAGCTGCATGTGAAGGTGAAGGAACTCAGGCCCAGGGAGGGTGAGACACAGGAGCACGGCCGGAGCACGGCCACCAAGCTAGCTTTGAATTGTACGCCGGTCTCTTCCCCGACTCACCCACCTGGGAAGTCTGTCGCCCCTGCTCATGTTCTCTGACTCGCGGCCGGCCTGCCTCCCTTATCCAGGAAGCCCTCTCTGGGTTCGCTGAGGCGGCGGGCACGGCCTTCGTCAGCCTGGTCGTGTCGGGCCGGGTGGTGGCAGCGACCGAGAGCTGGTGGCGGCTGGGGATGCCGGAGGCCGTGCTGCTCCCCTGGCTGGTGGGGTCCCTGCCGCCGCAGGCCGCTCGCGACTACCCGGTGTACCTGCCGCACGGGAGCCCCACGGTGAGTGAGTGGGTGGGGCAGGCAGGGGGGAACGGTGAGGGCTGGGAGGAGCGCGCCAGGGGTGGGACCTGGAGGACCGCCTCTAGGAGACCGGGCGTGCGAAGAGAAGAGGAGGAGCTCCGGCCAGCCCACCCTCCTCGCTGCTGCAGGTTCCGCACCGGCTACTGACCCTGACGCTTCTGCCGGACTTGGAACTGTGTCTGCTCTGCGGCCCGCGGCCTCACCTCAGCCAGCTGGATGCGCAGGTGAATCGGCGCTCCGTCCCGCTTTGCTTCTAGTTCACCTTTCTACTCGCGAGCCCTGGCACTCCTTTGAGCACCGTGCCAGGCGAGTGTGCCTTTACCCTGGACCCGCCGTGTGTCCGGCCCGCCCCTCGTAGATCCGCCCTCTCTGGGCCCCGCCCCCCACAGGCCCCACCCTCTAGTGGCCCAGCTCCTTTGGGCTCCGCCTCCGGGGCCCCTCTTCCCCATCCTTCCAGGCTCCTCTCTTCCCTCCCGCGGCCCCCTCTGCCTTTGTGGTCTCCTCCCCAGTTCCCTGGCCAAACTGCCTCCCCTGGGTACCCCCCGACCTCGCCCTTGGGCCCCGCCTCTCTTGCTGACCACGCCCCCCCGCAGCTTCTGGAGCGCTGGTGGCAGCCCCTACTGGAGCCGCTGCGGGGCTGCCTGCCGCTGGGACCCCGAGCACTGCCCGCGGGCTTCCCGCTGCACACGGACATCCTCGGGTAGGGCGCGGCAGGGGGAGTGGGTTGGGGGTCCTCAGCACCTCTTTCCTGGCCGTGACACCTGTTTCCTCACAGGCTGCTGCTCCTCCACCTGGAACTGAAACGCTGTCTCTTCACAGTGGAGCCCTCGCGGGATAAAGGTGACTGGGAGGTGGGCGGGGGCCGGGAGGGGCGGGGGGCTGGGCAGGGGCTCTGCGTTACCGCGCCCCTCTTCCACCTTCAGAACCGTCTCCGGAGCACCGCCGGCGCCTTCTCCGCTCTTTCTACACCCTGGTCACCGCCACTCACTTCCCACCAGGTCAGCGGCGGGCACAGCGACCCCTTTGCACAGGCCGGGGCACTGGGTCCCAGTTCTCACGAGGCGGGAGTAAGAGGCGGGGGAGGGGAAAGCAGTAGGAGAAGCGTGGACTGGGCATGGCCGTCTGTGAGCCCTGGGCATGTACACAGAGCAGCAGGGAAGAGAGCTGAAGGGAGGGGCAGGGAGGGCCCAGCCTGCAGGCTTCAGAGCCTCCTGGCTGACGCTAAACACCGAGACCTCATCTCCTGCCAGGTGCTGCTTGTGTATTAATTCACTTCTTCCTCGAGCTTCTCTCATAGCTCAGTTGGTAAAGAATCTGTCCGCAATGCAGGAGACCTGGGTTCGATCCCTGGATTGGGAAGATCCCCTGGACAAGGGAAAGGTTACCCACACCAGTATTCTGGTCTGGAGAATTCCATAGACTATACGGGGTCACAAAGAGCTGGAAAAGACTGAGCAACTTTCACATCATCATTTCCATATTGTAGATGAGCTAACAGGTTTAGCTAAACAGCAGAGCTCGGCTGTGATTCACACAGGCAGCCTGGCTTCCACATCCACATGCTCCTGCTCTGCTGCTGAAAATAAGGCTTTGGGTGGAGAAGGGTGGTAGATTCCACAGAACCCAGGTCCAGGAGGAAAAGCTGTCACACAGAACCTGAGGCCCAAAGAAAGGGACCTAGAGTGATACTACAAAGACCCTGATGAGTTTAACAAGATGGTGAAAAGTTCTCCCTGGAGGAGTAAAGGACTGCCCCTTCCTAGCCGTGCGACTCCACCTCCCGCACCTGCTTCCCAAGTGGGGTGGGGTCCTCTGGAGGCCAGTGCCTGCCTCCTGGGCAGCATCTCTTGCATGTCTGTGATCTGTACTGTAACCAGGTTCCTTGGGGCTGCACACACAGTGTCCCCAGGAAAGTGGGGCAGTGGGGCTGTAAGAGGGGGAGAAAGTCTGATCTGAAGTCCTGACAGCTGGCTGGAGCTGGAGGCTCTTCCATCAGATGTCAAACTTAGCCCAGGATGGGGGTGGCTCCCTCAGGTTGGCATCCTAGTTGTCCAGGCCTCACTGGTCACCTCGACCCTCACTGTCCTTCCTTCAGAGCCGGGGCAGCCAGACGAGAAAGCAGAAGAGGCCGTCCACCGTGCCCAGGTAGCCAGAGCCTGCTACTTGGTGTCAGGGACTGAGGAGCCAGGCACAGGATGGCGGCTGGTGGCGCTGCAGTTGGGGCCACGGCGGCTGCTGCTGCTGCTGTCTGCTCAAAGCCCCACATATGGGCTGCGGGGCCTGGCCACCCACACTCTGCATGCCCTCACCCCGCTCCTCTGACCACTGGACTTGAGCACCAGACACAGACAAGGACGGGGGCTATTAGCGTCTCTCTGTTTATTCGCTCACAATAATACACAGCCCCTGGAAGGGGAGGGGGCAGGAGGGGCTATGACAGGATGGGGTGGGAGGGGAGGAGGCACCCACTTCCCTGGCCCCTCTCCCCTCTGTGCTTCGGGGGAAAAGGGAGGGAGGGGGCTCCCCCTTACCCCCCCAGAATGTAAACAGCAGCAGATGAACAAAAATAAAAATACAAAAGGCCGGAGGAAGTTCCTGGGCATCCCCCCACCCCAGGGTCTTCCCTGTCACCAGAAGAGGTCCCTCGCTGCCCCATCCACCAAAGCTGCCTCAGTCCTGGGGGCTGCCCAGTGCCGGCCACATCCCCGGGGGGCAGAGTCCAGGGCTCAGAACTGCTGGGCCAGCAGCTCACACAGGTGACGGGAGACAGGCTCCTTGCTGGTGCGCAGGGTCAGCCGGTACATCTAGGGGGACAGGGCAACTCAGGGAGGAGGCAGAGGGGATGGAGAGTGTGGGGGAGGGGGGTTGATACAGTGCAGATAAATGATGAGAGAAAGGATCAAGGGGTCAGAAAGGTGATATAAGAGAGGGAAAGGATGAAAGGTAACAAAGAGGTCACAAAGGGTGTAAAGGATATAGAGAGACAAAACGCGGGGAGGAAAAGGGAGCGGAAGACAGCAGAGCAGAGAATGCACGCAGAGCAGGCGGCCTTGGGAACCACCACTCACCTGAGCCTGGGCGTTGGGCTCCAGCCGGAGCAGACAGCCCACCTGCAGGGCTTTAGTCTGGATGATTCCAGCCCCCACGAAGTTCTCAGGGTTGGGGTCCACATTGTCCAGGAGAGCAGAGCCAAACCCCAGGAGCTAAGGGGGACAGGGGGTACCCGATCTCTTTTAGCTCCCAGACAGCAACATTCCAGTTACCCCAAACCCTTGGGAGTGGAAATTAGTCCCACTTTACTGATGGGAAAACAGGTTCAAGTAGAGCAGACACCGCACCCCAAATCCCAGAGTTCGGGAGAGGAGAGGCAGGACTGGGATGGTAGCCCCCGTGCCTCTCCTGTCCAGCCTCTCACCTTGGCCTTAGTGACCTCCGCGTCCATGGGGTGGTTGGCTTTGAAGATTTTCTGGGCCTCCTGTTGGGGGCTAGAGGCGGGAAAAGGTCCAGGTCAGGGCTCTGGAAGCCCCAGTCCCGCCCACCCTGAGGAAGGCTTTGGCTCCCCTCCCCCGCGGCTCACAGGCTTAGCTGCTTCCAACGCTGGAAGAAGTCCTGGGCCGCCATCTCCGTCGGCTGGAAGAACTTGTTGATGGTCACTGGGAGCTTCAGGGTGAGGGACTGGGGGGCGCCCCCGTACCTGTTGGTAGAGCGGCCTCATCAGGCCCCGCCCTCGTCCTGGAGGCCCCGCCCGCCCGGCAGCACCCCGCCTCCTGACTTACCGGAAGCGCACCGACAGGAGTGGCGGCGTCAGGAAGTCCCGCAGACACTCAATGTTGAGCACCTGCTGCACCTGCGCCCCGCCGTCCACCTGCGAGGCCACCCGCTTGGTCTGCACGGCCAGCTGTGCCCGCCCGTGGTCAAGGAAGCCAGAAATGCGAACGGGGGAGTGGGGAGGGATGGAAGGGCGCCGAGGAGGGCAAAGGGACTTCACCATCATCACCTGATGGTTCAGAACTTCCCTCGCGGCTCCAGCCTGCAGGTCTCTGAGGGGCCCAGCCCTGCCGTCCCGGGCTCATCCAACATGACCCAGCTCCAAAGTCCTTCCTAATGCAAACCTCTGACCTGGGTGCCTCTGGCTTTCCACAGCGGGCTCAGTCACCTCCATTATGGCACAGGTCACGCCCTGGCTCTGACGGCTGACCTGGGTTTGAATCCCAGCTCTTCTTAGAGGTTAAGACGTCACTTAACCTCTCTTAGCCTCATCGTCGAAATGGATGTAAGTGTCCTCAGCAGTCAATGAAATAATCTCCCACAAGTACTTGTCAGTGTGTCTGGCACATGGTAAGTTCACTGAAATGGTAGCAATGAGTATTACCACCATCTACCTTTGTGTCAACAACCCATTGGCAAGTTGGGGTCTTATGTCTCTCCCCCCACCCCTGCCCAGCACAAAGCTGAGCCTCCGAGAGGTCTCTGGAAATGTTGAATGAAACAAAGCTAAAAGGGTCTTCAAGTTTGGGGGTATAATCACTCTAATTTCCAAGTTGTGGAAACTGAGGCCCAGAGAAGGGGGGACAGGGGACTGATACTGCTCAAGCAGTTCCTTCATGCCAGCCACCCTTCCAGGGTCTTCCAGCCACACTGATCTTCAAAACAAGACTGAGAAGGAAGAGGAGGATCCACACTTCACCGAAGGGAGTGCAGGGCTCGGAGAGGCCAAGTGACTGGCCGAGGCACTGGAATCATGGGTGTGGAGCCTGATGGAAGAAAAGGTTAGGACACAGCGAGGGGCCTGACAGGGACGAACTGATGCCCAGAGCATGTGGGATTCAGGAAATAACACCTCCTGCATCCCTGTCATGTCATGTCACTGTCCTCTCCTGTCCTGGGAAAGAGGCTCACTCCCTCTTACAGATGATGCTAAATCTCAGAGAAGTACCATGGGCTCAGGCTCTCAAGTAAGGGGGCCAAAGAGGGATCTGGATCTGTTTCCCGGCTGCCAGGAAGGCAGACCTGGAGGAGCAGGGCTGGGCCAGGCCGAGAGGATATGAGTCTGGAGGTCTCCGGGGTGGACCACAGTGGGAGAGAAGTTCTGGAACTGCACCGAGGTCTTGTTGCCATAAAAGAGATACATGCGGCCTGTGGGAGCAGGGGTGAGAGGCAGAGCTCCATCTGAGTTCCTTCCATGTCCTCCCCAAGTCGGGGTCTCCCGGAAACCTCACCCCAGTGCCCTCTCGACCCACCCAAGTTCTGCCGGAACTCTGACTTGACTCCAATCTGCAGCAGCTGGTTCTCAAACAGCACCCCGTTGTTCCTGCACACAAACCTGCGTGGGGCAGTGGGGGGTCAGTATGACGATGCCTGCCTGGGCTCTGCTCTGTGCTCCCCACTCGTCCCTACTTCCCTCCCCAACCTCACCCACAACTCACTTATTCAGCAGCTCATCGGCTTCCGGGATGGGCGGGCCAATGTCCTCAGGACCTGCGCTGCAGGTGGGAAAGAAGGGAGATGGGAGGGGGCTTGGGGAACTAGAGGTCAAGGCCCAGAGCTAGTGGTGGGAGACAGCAAGCCCTGAAGGAACAGAAGCCCAGAATCCACATACCTGGATTCCCCACAGAGCCCCTCAATCAGACTGGCAATTGCCTCTGATGGGAAGAGGACCCTGGCAGGAGACATCACCCCCCTACCCTGTACCAGACGGCCCTGATTCTCACTCCCAAGCCCTCGCAGCTCATCAGGAGAGCTTGCTGAGAGCTCCCAGTCCCCTAACCCTCCCGGGGGGATACAAGAGTCTGCCCCCCAACCCCCTGAGGCCACCCCTTACTCAGCAGCTGGAGCTGGATCAGCCAGCAAAGCCATGGGGCTCTCAGGGGCAGGCGGCTCCAGCTCGCTGGGCCATCCAATCCCAGAGCAGACAAGAGAAGACAGGCGTGGCAGGCAGCCAATCCCAGAGAGGCAGCAAGAGGGCGGAGAGAGAGAGAGAGAGAGACGGGAGGAGAGAAGGAGAAGGAAGAGCAGGCTGAGACGGTGACAGGGAAGGACAACACAGGGTGGCCAGGGTCAGCGAGAGCCGAGAGGCCCAGAGGGAAGGACGGGGGAGACCGGGGCAGGCAGCAGCCAGGGAAGACACGAGGCTCAAGGAGAGGGGAGTTGGGGTGGGGGGGCAGATGAAAAGGGGGCCGCCCTGGGCCCAAGGCCGGTACCTGAGGAAGGCCTCCTCGGGGCTGGGCCCCAGGCCGGGCTGGGCGGCCGGGCTGTCGGAGAAGACGTCCACGAGGAGGTTGCCTGCACCCGAGGGGGCCGGGGGGGCCGCGGGGGGAGGGGCTGCCCGCAGCCCCAGGAGGTCGGCGGAGGGCGAGGGTGTGGACTGCGGGCAATGTGGAGGCAGGTGAGAAGGGGCTGGCCTGGTTGGGCCCAGCCGCCCCGCCCCCGGCCCAGCCCCCTGGGACTCACCACGGTGCTGGGGGTGGGCTCCACGCCCCCATTGATGTCGTGGCTGCTGGGGTCCCTCCGGCTGTCGTCCAGGGCGCTGCCGGCCCCCGGCCCCTTCTTGCGCTTCAGCTTGGCCAGGATGGATGACTCGCGCTCAGGGAAGGGTGGCATCTCCTCCAGCACCGTGGCCTGCAGGGTTCGGTCAGGGACGGGCGTCAGCACCGGTCTCCAGCGGGAGTGGGGGCAAGACGCAGGGGAGGGGCACGTGGGGACTGGGCTCTGACCAGGACGTCCGTGCTGGCCACTGAGCTGAGGGTGAGGTACTCGACGGCCCGCTGCTGGAGCTCCACGTCGGCGTTGCGCAGCTGGGAGCCGGCCCGCAGCACGCCCTGGATGGTGGCCTTGGTCTCCGGGAAGAGGTTGATGAACTTGATGTAGGTGGAGAGCAGCAGGGCCCGCGTGGCCACGCTGCACAGGTGGAACTTAGAGTGCAGCAGGGAGAACTGCACCGGGGGGCTGCAGAGAGTGGGCAGATGTCGGTGGGCGGCCGGCTGCACCACCCTCTCCCAGCAGCCCCTGTGGGAGGCGCCGCCTCCCTCAGAGGGACCCTTCCCAGGACCCCAGCTCAGGGTCCTTCAGGCCCTGGAGCCCCAAACCCCTCACCTGGAGCGGGGGTCCCCAGCAATCAGGTTCCCGAACTCCCCAAGGATATAGCCGCCAACCTTCACCATGTTCTCGTGGCAGGCAGGTGCCTGGAGTGCCTGTGGGCGGGGACAGCGGTGAGCAGCAGCATCCTGGCTCAGGAGCGCTCAGCATGTACCCGGCACTCCACTGAGCCCTTGACTCCTATTAACTGCAGAAGCCTGGTGACTGCTGTGGGTGGGTTTACAGCTGGGGAAACTGAGGCACAGAGCAGTTAAGTGACCGAACTGAGCTGGGAATAAAACGGAGCTGAATGGGAACTCTTGCCTGGAGTGGAAAGAGCGGGAAACTGGCAGAACTCAGGGACCAGTGACTACACACCGGGCATCCTGTGCCCTGCTGACCTTCACATTGGCCCGTGGTGGCCAGGCCCTTCTGAGGATGAGGCCTGGGCCAGCTGGCCCCACAGCCCCAGCTGTCCTGGCTCTGCCCTGATGCCCCATCGTGGGGTGAGACGGGGGCGCTGACCTCGAAGACAGTCTTGGCAGCGTAGCCCTGCACGTCGTCGCGGTTGGTAACGATCTGCAGCACACGGTACCACACCTCCTCGCTCACGTAGTCGCCCGCGATGCGGATGAGGTTGAGGATGGTGTCCACGTACCAGCTGTAGTCCACGGCGTACTTCTCAGCCAGGATGGCCACCTTCAGGACCTACCAGCCGGAGGGAAGGTCGGGCATGCGTGTGTGTCCCAGGCAGGGGAACTGGGGTGTGGACTCACCACATCTGGGCTCAGCATGTCCCCACCTGGAGAGGGGCCCCTCCTCCCTCAGGCCCCGGAGTCTGGGTGCCCGGCCCCTCCCAGGACTCACGATCTCTTCACGAATGGCGTAGTCGGCCGTCTCCAGGTACCGCAGCATCTCTGACACGATCTGCTTGGCATTGCTCCGGTCACACATGGCGTAGAGGAGGTCAGCCGCCCGCTGCCGCACGCTGACGTCCCGCTCCGTCTGAGGAAGGAGAGCAGATAGGGCACGTTCTAGGCTCCCTTCTGACCTGGGCTGGTCACCCAGGGCCGCTGGGTCCCCGAGCCGCTCCGAGGCAGCAGAGGAGCCACAAGTCAGGTCAGTGTGGCCGGGACAGGCGCCCAGAGGTCGCACCTTGAGGGCGTTGATGACGGTGTCGATGTGTGTCTTGACCGCCTCGTGGGAGAACTCAGAGCTGGCCAGCGTGCACATGCTCTCTAGGGCCAGGTAGCGCAGGTTGGTCTCCCGATGCTGCAGGAACTGGCCCAGCTGGTTACAGGCCCGAACCAGGAGGTTGGGCTCACTGCCGGTGCAAGAGGGAGAGATGGGGGGGCGGGGGCGGTGAGAACACACAGCTGATGTGAGCAGACGGAGGACTGGCCCCAGCCAACGCATCTTGCATCCCCCTCAGGACCCCACTCTGAGTTCCTGCCCTGTCCCAGTCACAACCATGCCCGGGGACCCGACACCTGGGCCGTCCAGCCCAGATATGGAGAGCCAGGAATTCTGCCTGCAGAAGGGGCCCGGCGCCCGTGACTCACGGCAACACCCCACAGCCACATTGCCCTCCTACCTCGAAGTCACGTTCCCAGACCCCGTCCCCTAGGACCTGGGAGTCTGGCCCGCACAGGCACCTGTCATAGTGGATAATGAGGCTGATGGTCTCAAAGAGGATGGCGTTCTTGGCGTTGGAGTGCTGGACCTTCTTGGACTTGGGTGGCTCCTGGGCCTTGTTGAGCACGGTCTCCAGGCACTCCACCAGCCGCCCCTTCACGGCCGCGTCCTCTGAGGAAACGGAGGGCATGCCCCAGGTTGACCTCCCTGCAGGCAGGGGCCCCCACGCCATGGCCCCCGTCCTCCAGAGGAAAAGGGAGGGCCCAGCAGCTTCAAGCTGGGGTCTTGACTCCCAAGCCCTTCTGGGGCCCCCAGGCCACACAGGGAGGCTGACGGAGGACAGGACCCCAGACCTGGGCCCTCGCTCTGCTCTGTGCTGACTCTGCTGGGCCAGAGGCGGACCCTGGGAGGCCCCCATCGCCCGCTGCAGCACCCAGGCCCTGCAGGAGTCTCACAGAGCAAAGACAGCGCCAGGAACCCTCCCCAGAGACACCCCCAAGCGCGGCCCTTCCCAAGGAGGGGTCTGAGCGCCTGAGACAGTTGCCAACCAGGAGGTCACAAAACCCGGAGAACTGCCATTCCCTCGCTTGTGAGGTGACCCCAAGTGGACAGAACAGCTGGCAAATGTTCCAGCAAAGAATGCAGCACCAGATCTATCAGGAAATTCACGAGACAAAAAACCAGCTAAAGGACCCAGAGAGCGATCAGCCGAATCCAGAACGTTCGACACACTGCAACACAAAACTCTCCCGTTGTTTAAAAAACAGGCAGTGGGAGGCGCAACTATTCCAGGTGTGGGGCAAAAAATGACAAAGACATAATCATAGTTAATTTGCAGTCCTGGACTGTATTTTTTAAGCCTGCCCTGGGCACACCCCAAAACTATGAGGCGGGGCCTGGGCTCTAGCTGTACCTTTTCTTAAGGGATGAGCAAAAAAGCTCAGCTGGGAGAGCCTTCCCCAGGGACTCACGACAAAATTCATCCCTGGTTTCACAGGCTGAGAAGGGCCTTCTGTGTCACGTACACTCTGCTACAGGTTGCACACTGGCTGCAGAGATTCAGGGCTGCACACCAGCCACCATCCCCAGCAGGTGCTCAACACCCTGGCTGAATCGAAGGGCACTGTTTCTCAAGCACCTTCTATGTGCTGAGCACCTCAGCACAGGGTCCCTCAAAACTGCTCTGTGAGGTCACACACCCGAGGATTGGGACATTCTGGGGGAGCCCGGCCCACATGAGAGGGAAGGGGTTACGTGCACGGACTCAGTGGTCAGGCTCTGCTCTTTGTCGCTGCCCAGGGCCTGGAATCACTGCAGATGGTGATTGCAGCCATGTAATTAAAAGATGCTTACTCCTTGGAAGGAAAGTTATGACCAACCTAGACAGCATATTAAAAAGCAGAGACATTACTTTGCCAACAAAGGTCCGTCTAGTTAAGGCTATGGTTTTTCCAGTAGTCATGGATAGATATGAGAGTTGGACTACAAAGAAAGCTGAGCGCCGAACAATTGATGCTTTTGAACTGTGGTGTCGGAGAAGACTCTTGAGAGTCCCTTGGACTGCAAGGAGATCCAACCAGTCCATCCTAAAGGAGCTCAGTCCTGGGTGTTCATTGGAAGGACTGATGTTGAAGCTGAAACTCCAATACTTTGGCCACCTGATGCAAAGAGCTGACTCATTTGAAAAGACCCTGATGCTGGGAAAGATTGAAGGCAGGAGGAGAAGGGAACGACAGAGGATGAAATGGTTGGATGGCATCACCGACTCAATGGACATGAGTTTGAGTAAACTCCGGGGGTTAGTGACGGACAGGGAGGCTTGGCGTGCTGCAGCCCATGGGGTCGGAAAGAGTCAGACACGACTGAGTGACTGAACTGAACTGAACTGAGGGCCTGGAAAGATGCCTCATCTCCAAACCTCCGTTTCTGAGACAGCTGCCCCCCACCAGCTCGGCAGGAGGCGGCTGGACACCCTGGTACAGCACCTGCTCACTGCAGGCCCTTTGTCCACACCAGCGCTCATGACCACGAGCACTGAGGGCATGAAAACCCCTAACAGAGCTACGCTGGCTCCTACCACACAGCTTGGAGTTACCCCTTGATGTGCTGGGTGGCCTTGGGCAAGGCCCCCCTCTCCAAGCCTCGGTCTCCTCATCTGTAAGAGAGGTAACAGAGCCCCGACGTTCCGGGCGGGGCCATGAGTCTGGCCTTACAGGGCCCCTGGGCCACGGCAGGGGAATCAACGGTGATCTGTCCGTTCCCTGTGCTGGGGGGAGCACTCCCTGCTGCAGGTGCCCCCCCCACCCCGGCCCCTCACTGCCTCAACAACATACTGGTCACAGAGCCTGAGTGGGCCGTGGGCTCGGCACTGCCCCCACTGCGGCCTCGGATCAGGGGCTGGAGGCACCAGGCCAGCCTCCGGGGAAATCGACACAGACCCCTGGCGTCCCGGCCCCTGGCCAGCCTTGGGGTCGGGGGACCCCAGGCCCCAGGCCGTGCCGGCTTGTTGTACCTGGTGGCGGGTAGCACTGCAGCAGCCGCAGGAGCTTCACAGAGAGCCAGGGCGCCGGCACGAAGTAGTAGGTGTAGTCCTGGAGGTCAGTGGAGGCCGAGGAGACGATCTGGGGGCAGAGGGGGGGGCAGAGGCAGGGGAACGGGGAGGGGCAGCTGTCACAGCGTGAACCTTTATGGAGCAGAAACTGGCGGCTCAGGGAGGGTGGTGAGGAAGCCTCGGGACACAGAGCGTGACCGGGTGGATCTAAGCCCAAGCTAGGACTGGTCGATTTTTCCAAGTAAAGCTGGTGATAGGTGGGCAGGGAATGTTGGCCAATCCGATCCCCTTCTGTGAACTCCTGATGCCAACTCGGCACCTCACAACACCCTGGGCCGCCTCCACTAGCAGCTGGACCTCACCAGCTCCCTAGAGCAGGCTCCCCCCAACACCGGAAGCTCCTCAGGAGCAGGAACTGAGTCTGACCCTCTCCTGGGTCCCTGGGCCTACTACACAGTCAGACAAGAGAAGGGCTCAGCGAAGGGGCGGGGGAATTAGTGAAAGAGCGTGTGACTTTATCGTCCTCACGGCAAACTCCTATGCAACCGTGAAAACCCCTTCTCCAGGAAGCAAGTCTCAACCTGCTCTGAGCCCCCTCCATGACAGGAGTTCCCCCCCTCCACTGTCTGTGTCTCTCCTACCAAGCGTGGCCCACAGGAGTATCCGAATGTGTGGTGAATGAATGAAACACATGGTTGAACGAATGAGCTAATGTTTTGTTTTCTTTGATTGAGAACCCAGGCCTCTCTTTACCTGCTCAGGAAATGTTTCTATTTACTCCAAGTTTCAACTCAGGCAAGGATCACCTCCACTAGGAAGCCTTCCGGGACTTCTAGGCTGGGTAGAGTGCCTTCTTTGGGGCCTACAACGTCCTTGCTATCTCCATGACCACATACACTGTCCCTTGTATGATAATCTGTGCCTGAGTTGGCCTGTCCTGCAACACATCTCTCCTCCAAACAGGAGAGGAAGACCCTGAAGGCAGGCTTGGGTCTCACTCACCTGTGTCTACAGTGTCAGCCTGCACAGAGCTGAGCATAGAAGCAGCCTCGGGGCATGTGCCCAGGAGGGAAAGAAAGATGCATGAGAAGGAAAAGCAGGAGAAGCAGCAGGAGGAAACAAGAGGGCGCAAGAGGGAGGGAGGCAGGAGAGCAACCTCCCTTGCTGGGAGCTCCCAGTGCCCTGGGCGCTGTGCTCACATGCTATCCAGGTTAACTCACAGCAGCTATGCTGTGAGACAGGCACCTAGAATCACCCCCTTTAAGCAGATGAGGCCAACGAGGCCCAGAGAGGTGATGCCACTTGCCGAGGGCCCCATAGCCAGGAAGTGGCCAAGCAGGGATGAACTCAGCTCTGAGCCTGTGTTCTTAACCGCCGGGCTGGGTGGTCTCTCAGGGAGCATGAGGGGGACCAGAGGGGTGCCCAGGGAACAGGCACACCAGGGCCACCTTCCCGCAGTCGGCATGGATACCACACCTACCCGGCTCAGGCGAGACACGGCCAGGGAGACGCACGTCTTGAAGTCATCCGGGTTCTTCTTGCAGAGACAAGTGATGAGGCTGACAGCGGCTGTGACCACGCCCTGCAGGGGCAGGAGAGAGGCAGGTCAGGGCCCTGCGGGACTGGGGCATCGGGGGAGGGGACAGAGGTCCGAGTCTCTACGCTGGCTGGGCAGGCGCTGGGACGTGGGGGAAACTCTGGGTGTCAGAAACAGAGGCTGGATTTTTTCTGAGGGGTGGGGTGAGTGATGGATGTTGGGGACACTGGACAGGACCCCTGAGAGGCCAGGTGGGTGTTGGGGACAGAGGCAGGGGGCCTCAGGCATTCGGGGCGTGCCCAGGGTGGGCTGGGTCTTGGGGACAGAGGCCTCACCATGTGCTGATCGTTGAGCAGGTGCACCACGCGGGCCGTCCACTCGCCCATGGGCACCAGGTCGGGCGAGGCCTTGTAGAGCCGCAGCAGGCAAAGGGCCGCACTCTGCTTCACGCTGTCCATGCTGTCCCTGTGGGGACACAGAGTGGGGTGGGGGTGGGGGTCAGTGTGACCCCAGCCCTGCACACTGCCCTCCTCCTCTCTCATTCTTCCCAGGAGGGGTGTCCAGAGAGAGGCGGCAAGAGCCTGGTAGACCCAGGAACCCATCTGGTGCTGCCCTCATGGCCCACCGGGCCCCCGATTCTTCCTCTGCAAAATGGGTTGCATCTCAGTAACCTCATGGGGTCACAGGCAGGGCAGGCGTGGCTCTGCACCTTCACTCAGCTGCTGTCTGCTTATCTGAGCACCGCCTGGGCACCGGGCACCTCTTGGCACTGTGGAGTGCATGTGCGTGCTCAGCAGTTCAGTCGTGTCTGACTCTTTGCAACCCTATGCACTGTAGCCCGCCAGACTCCTCTGTCCGTGGGATTTTCCGGGCAAGAATACTGGACAGAGTGGTGGACAAGTCCAAAGTGTGTCCTCAGAGAGCTCATGTTCTTGCCAGGGCAGCCCCACCCTACAACAGACGCCGTCAGGGTTCAGTAGCCTCCTCCAGGGCCGGCGAGCGCAGGAGCTCTGGGGACGGTGTTTAGGACGGAAACCTCACTGATGCGGCACCAGGTGAACAGAAAACCGAGAGAAAACACTAAAAATCTACACAGATGTTCCCGGCAGAGTGAAGAGCCTGTGGAGGCCCAGAGGCAGGTGGGCCTGTGTGTGGGAGGAGCTCAGAGGAGGCTTGGCGCCCCCTACAGTCTCTAGGCTATCTGAATCTTAGGATCAAGCTTTCACTGATTCTTGTACATTCTTAGCTGTCATCTGTTCAAACACTGCCTCTGTTACGATTCTCTTCCTTTTCTCCTTCTAGAACTCTGAATGGTGTTGTTAGACTTTATCTCCCTTGACTCCTAGCCTCTCTCTTTTTTTTTTTAACCCCCGACACACCAGGGGCAACAACACCCAAAGGCTGCGTCCGGTGCAAGGAAGCTCTCAAAGGGGAAGACCAACCACAGAGGCCTGGCAAGCCAGGGGCCTCGGTGCGAGCTCGAATCCCCTTCTCCCCTCTCGCGTCCTAGCCTCTCTTAAATTTTTCCATCTCTTTGCTTCTCTGGGCTGCATTCTGATTAACATGTCTCCATTTACAATCCTTGCTTTGGTTCTGTCTACTCTGCTGCTAAACTAAACCACTTATTTTCTTTATGAAAACTCCCAGTTCTATTTTTGGCTGTATCACGAGGCTTGTGAGATCTTGGTTCCCCGACCAGGGATTGAACCTGGGCCCTCGGCAGTGACAATGCTGAGTCCTAGCCACTGAACCACCACAGAATTCCTTGAAAACTCCAATTCAACTGTTATTTTCTGTCTTCTTTTTGCTGGCTCTCCTTCATGGTGCCTTGCAGCCTGCATTTAGTGATTTTCGACTGTGAGCTTCTCATGTAACCTGGAGCTTCATCTAGGGAAATCATAGAGGCTTGTGGTGAAGGTGGCTTTCTCCAGAAAAGACTTGTTTGCATCTGTCAGGCACTAGCAGGTGGGTAGGGTACTAGCAGTATGTATCTCTTTAAACTAAACTTGGCTTACGGATCTATGGATCACCCAAGAAAGGGAAAATCAGGCTGAAAACCAGAGTTGTGGCCTGTTCCATGCCAAGACTCAGAAGGGGTAACTCTGCCTAGTCCCTAAGGGGGTTTGTTTCTAGGTCACCCTCACTTTGAAGTGTGGCCTCCGGAGACTCTGCTTCAACAAGCTTTATCTTCTATTCCCAGAGGCTGCAGGGCCCCAAAACCAATACCCTGCTTCACCCAGTTCAGCAAATGCCCTAAGCAAAATCCAACTCAAAACACCAACAGTTTTACCTGCTCAAAACACACCAATTGCTTCCCATTTTGATCAGAAGAAAATCCAAACACCACTATGGAAAAACCCAAGCAAACTTTTTGGCCAACCCAATACAAAGCTCATGTCTATCCCAGGGCCTTTGCACTTACTGCTCCTTTTGCTTGGAACACCTTCTCCGATACTTCTGATTGACTGTCTTCTCCTCATCATTCCAGTCTCCAGTTACACGGCACCTCCATGCAGACACCCTCCCTGATGAGTCTGATTTAAGTAGCCATCCTCCCACGCTGCCACCTGTTTTGTTTTCTTCAGTGTAGCTGTCACTGTCTGAACTCAACTCACTTCTCTGCCTATGCGTTTGCTCTTTGGAGCCCCTCTCAGATGCCAGCTCCCTGAGGGTGGGGACAACTGTTCCCCAGCTCCCTCCTGCCTCCCAACGCCCAGAACAGAGCCAGGGACTTTGCAGGTGCTCAAGAAACAGTTGCTCAATGCCCTCCTGATTCAGAAAGATCACAGGCTGATCATTGCCGTTTATGCCTTTCCCTTTTTCACAGCCAAGTCCTCATCCTCACCCAGGTCTCAACCTAATGCCACTTCCTCTGAGAAGCCCTCCAACCCACAGCCTAGTTCAGGTGCTCCCACTAAACACCCTTAGGCTCCTGTGCCCCATAGCAGGGTTCTGAGAGAAAGTAATATGTTTCATCCTGCAATTATTCAATCAATGTTTATCCCCCACCTCTGGACCATGAACACTGGGAGGATGATGACTGTGTCTGCCTCTGGTCATGGCTACGTCCCCAGGAACGAGCACGGCACCTCATACATAGATGTTCAATAGATGATTGTTGAATGAATGAATGGAGAAGGGGCAAAAGTTCTGGAAGGCTGTCACCGACATGATTTAAGGTCATTGCCTCTTCTTCACCAGATGTTGAAGGTCAATCAGAAATTTTGCAAGTTTTATCACATTGAGTGATAGCCCCTTCATTCCTGTGAGCAAAAAGTCATTTAATTCATTTTGCAGGATGGCTACCCACTCCAGGATCCTTGCTGGAGAATTCCACGGACAGAGGAGCCTGGCGGGCTACAGTCCACAGGGTCGGAAAGAGTCAGACATGACTGAGCAACTAACACTATCGTTATATTTATTTCCAGTGTTTCTCATTACTAGATCTGTGCTTCCTATTATCTTTATAAAAAGGTTATTTCACTCCCTTTGTATTGGTTTATCTTATACCATATGGTAACCAAGGCTGTACGAAAGTCAAAGGAAAATGCCTAAGAAACTCTACAAGCCTTTCAATTGCTTCTTATTTGGGACAATACATTTTTCTAGTTCTTACCAAGAATAGTAAGTTATTAATAAATAGTGACAAATTTCTACTTTTTTTAACTGTACTTTTGACCTTATATTTTCTTATGGTGCATAAACAATAATTTATAAATACGAAAAAAAAAGGTCCATTAGACAGACATCCCACTGGCTTTGTTGGGGAGCTGACTTACAGGGCCGAGTCGGATTGGTGAGATGACAGGAGACATCCACGGGGCTGTCACCATGCCCAGCGTAATCCCCACATCCCGGCTGAGAGACCTCGGGCAGGTGACACCACCTCTCTGACCCTCAAACTGGGCTGGGTCTTGTCTAGCCCACCCCACCAGCTGGGCTCCCAGCGCCTCACCCGGCCACCAAGATGCGAGGGATGTCAGCGGCGAAGGCCTCGCCCATCTCGCGGCTGCCCACATTGGCGATGCAGTGCAGGGCCAGGCACATGAAGGTGGGGTTGCGGCTGGCCAGGTCGTTCTTGATGGCGTTGTTGATGAGCCGGATCAGCTCGGAGTTGGAGTTCACCAGCACCGAGATGAACAGGTAACCCTGGTGGCGCCAAGGAGGTGGGGGGCTTGGGGCCTTGTGGCTAACTGACCCAGCGTCCACACCCCCAGCCCCTCCCGACTCAGACCCAGGGGTCCAGGCCCCCAGCCCCTCCTCCCTCAGACCCAGGATCCAGACCCCCAGCCCCTCCTCGCTCAGACCCAGATCCAGGCCCCCAGCCCCTCCTCCCTCAGACCCAGATCCAGACCCCCAGCCCCTCCTCCCTCAGATCCAGGGGTCCAGGCCCCCAGCCCCTCCTCCCTCAGACCCAGGATCCAGACCCCCAGCCCCTCCTCCCTCAGATCCAGGGGTCCAGGCCCCCAGCCCCTCCTCCCTCAGACCCAGGATCCAGACCCCAGCCCCTCCTCCCTCAGACCCAGATCCAGACCCCAGCCCCTCCTCCCTCAGACCCAGGGGTCCAGGCCCCCAGCCCCTCCTCCCTCAGACCCAGGGGTCCAGGCCCCCAGCCCCTCCTCCCTCAGACCCAGGATCCAGGCCCCCAGCCCCTTCTCCCTCAGACCCAGGGGTCCAGACCCCCAGCCCCTCCTCCCTCAGACCCAGATCCAGACCCCCAGCCCCTCCTCCCTCAGACCCAGGATCCAGGCCCCCAGCCCCTGCTCCCTCAGACCCAGGGGTCCAGGCCCCCAGCCCCTTCTCCCTCAGACCCAGATCCAGACCCCAGCCCCTCCTCCCCAGACTCACAATCTGCTTCTCCGTGTACTTGTTGGAGCTCAGCAGGTTCACGGCCTCCATGTGCCCAAAGTCGATGTCGTGGCCAAGCAGGAAGATGAAGAGCAGTTTACACACGTACTTTTTCTTGCTGTAGCCGTCCAAGGCTTTGTCCCCTGGGGTCACAGGAAGGAGGACAGGGTGGCAGAAGTGAGGAAGGATCATACTTACAAGTCCTGGGTATTCCAGCCCCCAGCCCGCTCCTCCCGCAGACCCAGGAGACGCGCTCCCAGCCTACCCTTGAACTTGGAGCGGATGTTGGCCAGTTCCTTGTTGATTCTCTTAATCTCTGCCTCCTTGCTCTTACCTGGGAAGAAGAAGGCAGGGCAGGTGAGGAGGGTCCCAGAGAATGGAGCTGCCTGCCCTCACTTTCCGGGGCCAGGACCCTCCCAGGTGGAAGGGCGGATCCTCTCTATGTCTGGGGGCTGAAATGAGGCCTAGGACTCCATCTCTATATGGGAGCTTCAGGGAACAGAGAACCTGCGCTCAGGGGTCCCTACCACCCAGGGGAAAAGCCTGGCACACACTCTGGAGCGATCCCTGACCCCCTCCCTTCTTCCTCCTCCTGTTGCCGTCGCATCCATGGCTGTGCACCAGCCCCCAGCTGAAATAAGCCCCTGGCAGAGAATGTGTGATGAATGAATGAGTGAAGGGATCGGCTGCCCTCAAGCTGGCCCCGAGGGCCCTCAACCCCACATCCCCGCTGAGCTCAGCACCCCTTGAAAACCTCCTCTGCCCTCAGCGTCCCAACTGTACTCGCTCACCAGGCCTTGTATCCTGAGCTCCACGCTGCCCTCCCCTGCCGCCACCTGGTCCCTCCTCACAACCTGCCAGTTCTCTCCATACCCCATCCCACCCCCAAAGCCTGGCCCACAGACCCACTTCCTCCCTCCCCCCTACACGTCTGTCTGCAACGTCCCTACTCTTCTGACGAGATCCACCCAGAGGCGGACTCTAGAGGGCCTCCCCAGGCCCCGCGAGCCTCTGTGCTCCTTGATGCCCGGGAGTCCCCATCAGATCACGATCCAACTGGACAGTGACCCGGTCTCGGCCACCCTCACCGCTGGCTGTGTCCCTCCTCCAGCTTCCCAGTTCCACTTGAGCCAGACTTCACCATCTCACCCTTGACAGGCTTCACCGCTCACTCAGCTCCTCCGAGCAGAGAAACCTGGGTGTCCTCACCCCCTCACTCAAGTCGTCACCACATCCTCTTTGTTCGACCTTCAGAACACGAGCCCAGACCACCTCCACCATGACCATCTTGTCCAGACCCCATGCCCGCCCACCTGGATCACTGCAGCAGCCTCCCTGCCTCCCAGGGCAGGGACTCCACCCCGGGGCTAGCAAGCTCTGGTCACCCTCACATCTCGCTGTGTGTCCGGCCTGGCGGGCCTCCGCCAGTTCCAGGGCCACTCTACATGCCCTCCCACTTCCAGGGCCTTTGCACCTGCTATGCCCATCTGTCCAATTCTCTTCTTGTCATTTGCGTCTCAGCTCTTGTCACCTCCTCCACGCGGCCTTTCCTGGCCAGTTCTTAAAAGGCAATGCTTTATTCTTCAGCTTCCTCATTTTAAAAAAATGTCCTCCCTGGCACATGTCACATTGCATAACCATTTCTCTCTACTGTCAAACCATGGCTCCCCCTTCATTACAAGCCATCATGAGGGAGTTTCTAGAACAGTGCCCAGCATACAGCAGGTGCTTAATAGATGTCTGGTCGGGACTTCCCTGGTGGTCTAGTGGTCAAGGCTCCAAACTCCCAATGCAGGAGGCCTGGGTTCGGTCCCTGGTCAGGGAACTAGATCCCACATGCTGCAACTAAGACCTGGTACAGTCAAATAAATAAAAATAAATATTATAAACAATAAAAATAAATGGCTAGTCATCTGAAGGATGGAGACTGCTCTGACCCATGGCTTGCACCCAGGCAACTAGGAGGTTAAAATGAATGAATGAATGAGCACGTAAGAGTATGTCTTCTCCTTCTCTTTAGAAATCCTGCCTCACCAACTACTCCCAACTTCCAGGGAAGCTCCCATAAGCCCCACTTCAGCTATCAACTCCTTCAGGAAGCCCCCTTTGATTAGCACCTCCTGATCAGTTCTAAGCAGATGCTAGAGCTGCCTTGTCCAATATGGCAGCTGTCAGCCAGGCAGCTCTTGAACACCTGAAAGGTGCCTGTTCTCAAATGAAATGAGTGACAAAGACACATTTAGAAGACTCAGTGTGGGGGGAGAAAAGGAATGTAAGCTATCTCATTACAAAGTTTAAAATATTAATTATTGGTTGTTGTTCAGTTGCTAAGTTGAATCCGACTCTTTACAACCCCATGGACTGCAGCACACCAGGCTCCCCTGTCCTTCACTATCTCCGGAAGTTTGCTCACACTCATGTCCATTGAGTCAGTGATGCCATCCAACCATCTCATCCTCTGCCGTCCCCTTCTCCTCCTGCCCTCAATCTTTCCCAATATCAGGGTCTTTTCTAATGAGTCGGCTCTTCGCATCAGGTGGCCAAAGTACTGGTGCTTCAGCTTCAGCATCAGTCCTTCCAAGTAATATTCAGGGTTGATTTCCTTGAGGATTGACTGGCTTGATCTCCTTGCAGTCCAAGGGGCTCTTCTCAAGTCTTCTCCAGCACCACAATTCAAAATCATCAATTCTTCGGAGCTCAACCTTCTTTATGGTCCAACTCTCACATCCATACATGACTACTGGAAAAACCACAGCTTCGACTAGACCAGCTTTTGTCAGTTAAGTGATGTCTCTGCTTTTTAATACTGATATTTAGTTTTGCCATAGCTTTTCTTTCAAGGAGCAAATGTCTTTTAATTTCATGGCTACAATCACTGTCTGCAGTGATTTTGGAGCCCAAGAAAAAAATCTGCCACTGCTTCCATTTTTTTCCCCATCTATTTGCCATGAAGTGATGCGACCGGACACCATGATCTTAGTTTTTTGAATGTTGATTTTTAAGCCAGCTTTTTCACTCTCCTCTTTCACCTTCCTCAAGAGGGTCTTTAGTTCCTCTTCATGTTCTGCCATTAGGGTGGTTTTAAATGGAAAAAAAAATCTAAATACTGATTACCTGTGGAATTGATGCTTTCAAATTGTGGTGCTGGAGAAGACTCTTGAGAGTCCCGTGGACAGCACAGAGATCAAAGCAGTCAATCCTAAAGGAAATCAATCCTGAATATTCATTGGAGGGACTGATGCTGAAACTGAAGTTCCAATACTCTGGGCACTTGATGTGAGGAGCTGACTCACTGGAAAAGACTGTTGCTGGGAAAGACTGAGGGCAGTAGAATGGGGTGACAGTGGATGAGATGGTTGGATGGCATCACAGACCCGACATGAATTTCAGCAAATTCCAGGAGACAGTGGAGGACAAAGAAGCCTGGCATGCTGCAGTCCATGGGGCTGCAAAGAGTCGGACACAACTGAGTGCCTGAACAAGAGTGTATCAAGTTACATAAATACAATTAATTTGGCCCATTCCTTTCTGCTTTTTAACAAAAATGTGGCTCCTGAGGAAGTTGAAAACCACACATGCGGCTCATACTCTGGGTAGGACTGCTCTCAGGCTTTCCCGGGGCATCCCCACATTGCCCAGGCCAGCGCTGCTGTGGTGTCTGTGTCTGCCCCGTCCCCAGACCACACTGGGAACCACCTGAGGGCGAACGTGGGTCACTTTTCTAGTAATGACTCCACGTTTCACAGGCTTACTGAGTGGCTGAGCTCAGGAAAGACAAGAGGAGGTGAAAAACTACAAAGTGCCTGAAGAGGTAGTGACCCGCTCCCAGTCCTCAGGGAGAGAGGAGGGTCTCTGGGACCCAGGCGATGAAGGGCCAGTATCTCCGTGATGAGGCTGAACCGGCCCGTGTAGTCCCAGAGCCCATCTGATGCTTCATTTATTAATTACACGTTTCCTGAGCCCTGCGGGACAGGCTGGGGCGGGGGGGGGGCACGCCGGGCCCCTGGGACTACAGAGATCCGGCACTTCTGAGCCTCCCCCAGGGCCTCCGGGCCTGGTGGGGCGCAGGCTGCATACCTCCTGCCCACACCTGAGCAAGGTATGCGTGGATGGAGGTCACGGGGGCAGCCCTGGGGCCTTGCTGGTGGCTGCCGAGAGGAGGGGACATTTGAGGAAGGCCGTGAAAGATGAGGCGAGTTCAGGCGCAGTTCACCAGGGAAAAGAACTAAGCCACGCTGCTCAGTGCCCAGGGGAGGGTGGCCTGGGCGTCAGGACAGCGCCTCCCCTGGGGGCGGGGCAGGGGCGGGAACGGCATGCGCAGGGCGGGGCCACGCACGTGGTGCGCAAGCTCCATTCATTCTTCCCAACGTGGAACAATCACTCTAATGAGTTGCCTTAAAGCTATTCTGTACGGACCAGAAAAGGAAAAAAAAAAAGTTTTTATAAATGGACCACATACCACAAGGTGGCTGCCTAACCTTTACCACAGGTAAATGGAAATCTGAATGGTAATTACATTTCCGACACTAGTGCTCAGGCTTTTGCTTACACATCTATTAAAAGCTTCAAGAAGCAGACAAAACTAACTGAGGGTGTTGGACGACTGAGCAGTGAGCAGGGGGTGCTGGGGATGTTTGTTCCTGTATCTGGGGGCCAGTTACACAGCTGTGTTCAGCTGGGGAAAATTCATCAGATTTTGATGAATTTTGTTTTCATCAAAATTCATCACTTCTGATCTGTGAGCTTTTTTATAGATATACTATATATATGTATAAGTGAATATATAAAGATATTTGTATAGGAATATATATTAACACGTTTTTATAGTTAAGTATATCAATGACATAGAACAGAATGTCAAACAGATACGGAAAATTTAAAGAACATTCAGGAATTCCTTGGGACTTCCCTGGTGGTCCAGTGGCTTAGACTCCACGCTCCCAACACAGAGGGACCGGGTTCTATACCTGGTCAGGGAACTAGATCCTGCTGGCCTCGACTAAAGCTCCTATGTGCTACAAGTAAGACCCAGCACAGCCAAATAAATAAACATTATGGGACTTACCCACAGTCCAGTGGTTAAGAATCCACCCTCCAATGCAGAGGACACGGGTTCAATTTCTGGTCAGGGAACTAAGAACTGACATTAGGCAGAGCAACTAAGCCCACCCCAAAGCCTGCAGGCCACAACTAAGACCCAGTGCAGCCAAATAAATAAATTAAAAAAAAAAAAAGAATTTATGATAGTCAGCTGAGTGAATTATTCAATTATGCTATAGTTGGACATTTCACTCCTTTAATAAAAAATACTAGTGGCTGCTATGTGTAAAAATT